TCTCTCTCTCTCTCTCTTTGCTCTCTCTCTTTTTCCCTGTCTCTGTGCCTTATCAGCCCTCTAAACCCTGAACTCCAGCTTTGCTTCAGCCTCCCAGAGGAAGCCGCCGAGGGCGGCGAAGCGCTCTGCGCACTCCGCGCCGCCAGCCTGGGGCCTTTTGGGAAGAACCCTTTTCAGCTCGTTTTTGCAAGCTCCGCGGCTTTTTTTATCGAGAACCCTTGGGGTGTGTGGCGCTTTTCGTTTCTTCCGGGTTTTTTGGGTCTCAGGGAGCTTCCGGGGATTGTACTTTTGACTCGGTAGCTCTAGGAGTTTTCCGATGCTTCGAAGGGCAATCGAGTTCTGTGCCGCATTTTGCAACGCTGCACCAGAGACTCCCGGGGCATGCGGAGCCAGAGAGGAGTTCGGAGTGAAGAGGGCCTTGTGTTTAAATTGCCCGCCGCCAATCTTTGGCTCATTTGGAGTTCGAGCGAGAAGCGCATCGTGAAGCAGTGGCCCTTGCGGAGAAGGCTTGTTTCACATCTGCCCGGGTCCGCTCTGGAGCGATTGCAGCAAGAGGAAGAGTTTCTGGCAGGAAAAACCCTGACAGAGATGGTCGCCGCCCGCCGATCAAGCGCACTTTCAGTTCTGGCCGTCCTCTGTTTGCCGGGGTGCCAAGTGCACTTGGCCCCTTGCCACAGCCGTGTATTGAGTGCAGCAGTGTGGTCGTAGTCTGATGAAGATGGGCTTCTCTTTCCGCGGTACGCAGCTGCAAGAACGATTGAATTGCATCTTCAGGTATGTTCTGTAGTCAAATCAATGATGCTGCCATACCAGCTTACTAGCACGGCCCGCTTCAAATCTCTCGCCTCACAGGACGTCGCGTACATGCTGTTGTCATGACTTCATTCATTGTGGACGCAGGGTCGCTGCCCCAAGCTTCGTGGGCTTCAGGCACCGTGCGGTCGAGGGCGAGTGTGGGATCAAGGGCGTGGTGCTCTGTTGAGTCGCTCTGGAGTCCTGGAGTAGCAAACTTCACTTGGATTTCATCAGCTTGTTTATGGCTATTTCCATATCCTTAAAAGTCCAAAACCCTAAACCCCAACCGGTCCAGAGACTCTTCCTAACTTGGAATTTCATCAGCTTGTTAGCAGCTGTGCGAGAAGAGGAGTCTTTGACCCCAAGAGTCCTCAATGCTCAGCAGCCAGGCGAGCCCCCTGCCCTCTGACCCCGAAGCGCTTAAAAAGCCAACTCAAAGGGCCTCAAGAATGCGAGCATCGGTGAAGAAAAAAGACGAAGCCTCAAGCAAAGGCCGCGGCCTCTTCTCTGGCTTTCTCCGTGCAGGCAGTTGTTTCCCGGCCGTGGCCTGGCACTCCAGGCGGAGCCCAAACCCGCCTTCAAAGGCCCGAAAGCAAGCTCCGCACCAAACCGGGGGGGGGGGAGTCAGTTAGCAGAACCCCTTGCCTGTTCTGGGTGATAATACCGCCAGCCTAGCACTAACCCACCCATTAGACGATTCTTCCTGTACTCCCGCCTACGCCCCACCCAATATATCACCACTGCTACCCCCATTGCCAAGACCAGTATAGGAATAACCAGGGGGAGCATAGAAATAATCGTCTAATGGGTGGGCTAGTGCATGGTAGGCTGGTGGTATTCTCACCCAAAATGGGCAAGGGTTCTGCCAACTGATTCCGGGGGACTTCTTGAAGCCGTAAAGGCGACAAGCCCAAGCATCCTATCCTGGAGAGCTGGCGCCTCAGACTTTTTTTCCCCAAAGAGCCGCGGAGATTCAGAGCTGGGGTGCCTTTTTTTGAGGCGGCTGTACCGAGCTCATGCAGGCTGCCTACAAGGGAGACACCAAGAAGGCGGCCCACTTGCTATAGTATAGGTATACAATTTATTTTATACAGTATAGTATATATCATACAGTATATCGTATAGTATATAGTATATAGGACAGGCGGAGAGGGCCCTGCGGCGCTCCTCTCTGAGCAGAGGTGAAGGCTCTCGTCGACGGGGGGGCAGACGTCAACCAGCAAGATGCCTATGGCTGGACGGCTGTGGGAACCTCAGACGGCTCAGACTCAGTAAGTAATCCTCCGTTCTGAAACGGCAGATGCTGGCAGGTTCGTTACGCCGTCAGGAACAGGCGGGGAGATCCGGGGACCGAGCACCTTTGGCGCACCGGCACCGTTGTTGGCACAGTTTGCAGGCAACTCAAGAGCACTGAGACCCTTCTGGATCTGGGAGCCGACGTGAACATCGCATCCAAGACGGGACGTCGCTGGCCAAAAAGGGCGGCGCTGTTTCTTGGGCGATGTGAAGTAGAATGACTCCAGGGACGCCCCTGATGTCCGCGGCCGGCAATGGCCTGGAGGCAAGAGCCTCTCCTTGCAGGAACTGCAATGCGAGCTGACCTGAGCCCCCTTTCTTTAGGAGCTCTGCAAGATGCTGGTGGAGCAGGGGGATGCAGACATCATGGCCGGTGCCCCAGCGCCTGCGCCAGCTGTGCCTAAAAACCACACGTCTGGTCAAGGCCGCAGATGAAGGTGGCAAGACTGCCTACGACCTGGCCTGGCTCCCAAAAGCCGCTGCAGGAAAAAGAAGTGCCCCAGTGGCTTCGGCAACCCAGGCCCTGAGGACTGGGCCTCTGGGCAGCGACCTTATCCGCGACCTCGTTGCAGGCTTGAGCCGCCGCTTCCGGCCTTCTGACGTTCTTGAGATCCTCGCTGCAGCCGACCTTGCCCTTCTTCCTGTCACGTGCACTTGCTCCAAGACTGAGACGGTATTCAACAGCAACGACAGCAACCGCCAGCACCATCACTGCCACCACCACCACCACCACCACCGCCACCACCACCACCGCCACCGCCCTCCTGCTCCTGCTACTGCTACTCGTACTGTTACTGCAACTACGCCTACGGCTATGTTACGACGACGACGACGGCGACTAGACTACGACCACGAACACTGCCGCCCCTGCCAGAGCTACCGCGAAAGCAGAAAGAGTCGTGACAAAAAAAAACGCCGAAGAGCACGAGAAGAGCCAACTTGGGCGCCAGAGCTTCTTTTCTGGTCCCTGGCCGCAGGTGGGCAGACACCCGGGGCCGGCGAGGAAGGCTGGAAGAGGAACCCAGGCCCGGCCGGGGGGAAAAAATGCAACCCAGTCGAAGAAATTAGACTCTCCCAAAACCAGCCGCTGCTCCTCAGTTCGTCGCTGGCAACGAGGTGCCTAAGTTCCTTTGTGCGAAGTACCCACGAGTCGCTCGCCTTTTGAGAAGCGAAATGTCGGGGGGTCGGGTAGCCTCTGGCAATTTGGACTGGGCGGGCCGCTTCCCCCAAGAAGAGATTGCGAAGTATATGGGACAGATCGAGTGGAATCTATTGCACTCCAGATCCGGTTCAGCGCCTGCCCCGACCCGGCCCAACTCATCTCTTGATATATTTCAATTTCTAAAGATCCTCTATAGCCCATTCTATGCTGGCCAAGTGCCAGTTTTCAAGGTTTCACAGGGCTGGAAGTCCGGCCTTGTTGGCACAGCGGCTCGCACACCTTTGCCAACCGGATGCCTCCGTTCCTCAGGTCAACGGCAGAGCAAGGGCAGGTTTAAGAGGTTTGATAGCCCGGTTCCCCGGCGCAGCTCTTATTCCCTAAGCCTCTATAGTCCTCGACCCGTGCGTTCGGTGACTGGCGAAGGGAGCGAGTGTAGCGCAACTTTAGCTGAGCTCATACGTAGCCCCGCGCCGAGAAAAAATGGACTCCCGGCTTTGCTACCGGAGCCCCCCCATTCACGGAGCGCCCAGCGAAGAGGCCCAAGCCTGAACACCGGGCCAGAACCAAGCAGATCTGCAACCTTGAGCTCGAAGAGTTGCAGCTCTTTTTGTATGGGTACTAAGCCCAACACCCTAGACAAAAAACGAGAAGCCCCGAAAACACCTGATTAAAAGCCTACAGGTGTCATCATCTAGGCAGTTGAACCCTAAACCTGTCAACCCTAAACCCTAAAACCCTAAGCCTATAAACCCTAAACCTGGCATTTGTTTTTGTTGTCCCTCTCTGAGGTGCTTCCTTGCAGCTCGGGGACCTGGAAGCGGCACTCAGCGCTGCATCGGATGCTCAGGCTCGGACTGTCGGGTCGAGGGTAAGGTGTGATTTGGGTTTAGGGTTTAGGGGTTTAGGGTAAGGTGTGATTTCGTTGAGTTTTGGTTTTAGGTTTAAGTTTAGGCGTTGGGGTAAGTGTCTTTTTTTGTTGTTTTCCAAATTCCAATTAGTTTTCGCCAAACGAGGGTGCGTGTTTAGGATGTATGTATGAACCGGAATCGCCGAATGAGGGTGCGTTTTAGATATATGATGACCCCGAATCGCCAAATGAGGGGGCGTGTTTAAGATATATGTGATGAACCGGAGTCGCCAAATGAGAGGGCAGATTCAGATATATGATTTCTGATGAAGCCGGCTTCGCCAAATGATCAAGATACATGATGATCTGGACTTGCCGGTGTTTGCAAAGGAGGGGGCTGCGCCCCCCAACCCTCCCCCGCTTTTTTGAGCCGTGCAAGGTCGCCTTAAAGCACAGGGTTCTTTTTGAGACCCATCATGCGAGCATTGTGTTTGC